TTTCCTACGATGTAATTAACTACGAGGGCTTGCGCTCGTAGGAGATTTGGAAACCCAGATTTAATTTTTCAAAATAAACATTTCAAAACACTCAATTAATTCTCTTTGGGAAATCAAATACAATGATTATTATCGTCATTTTCAAACGATCGATAATGATTGATATTTTCTTTCTTCGGAGAGATATATCAATTATTATCGTAATTTTGATTATGAAATTAATAATCTTTAATCCATATTAGCTCAGCCAAATACTCGATTAAATCCTATTTTGATCTTTCGAGGTCAAATACGATTCTTCTTGGATTTGACTACGATAATAAGGATAAAGTTAAAGTTTTGTAATCTGAACCAATCAGTGAATGATATCTTCGCCTTTTTGAGATGATATATTATTCCTAATCCTGAGTTCCATTACAGAATTAAAATTTAAAATTTAATATTCCCAAAGATAATTAAATATTTTGCAAAAATATATATACTTAAATATATTTTTTTTAATCAAAACAAATTCAACATATCCTTAGAAACACAATAATCCTAAAGCAAGCGATAGGTTAACATCACACCCCTTCTATCTCTCATCATATATTTTAAATTTAGCAGACATGATTATCCATTACATTTAAAATTTGATAACTTTTAGAGATTTTAGGAATAAACACACGTAAAACCTAACACTAAGACACCTCACACCTTTATCATGGAATCAAAACACAACCTATAATATCTTGCACCACTTGATAACCTCTAAGTATTATACTCAAACACTCTTTTCATGTATTCCATATTGGTATATATCACCATGGTCATTATAAGGTTAATCCCAAGCCAGAGAAGGTAGGGTAGTTCCATCACTAGGCCTATCACTAGCTCCAGCACCATCTCCTACTCACCATGCATAAGACTACGACTACATAGTGGAGCGACTGGATTGCCAAGAGATACAATCAACTATATAGTATTTAGAGTCTACTCTGTATTAGGATTGTCTTCACCAATTGCATGAGATTTTATAAATACATTATAAGCTAGATCTATAGTAGGACTAGAAGATACAACATATGTATAAGTAGTAACATGGTCTAATCCAACAGCACCACCAGTAGATCCGACAATAACAAGAAGCTGATCAAGCCTAGTTTAGTCACCAATTTTTTGCCCTTCACTAGTATTTCTAGCCACCATTACCACTACCACCATCACCTAATTAAGGTCCTTTCTACTTTTGAGTGATACATGTTATGCTGTAATTATCTTATTCTGCTGCATTATCTTGTGTTGTCTTATATCTTTATGAGATTGACTTTATTTTACTTCTTTTTGGTGATGTCCAAAAGGGAAGTAAAATGTCGGTAGAATGTATCTTTGTTATGTTTAGTATAGTTTTTTTATATTTTCTCTTGTGCTTATTGTGTTTTATAAAAAAAGAAAAAAAAAAACTCTCTTTGCTTTAACAAGAAACCTGTTAAGGGGGGGGGATGAGGAGATAAAAAAACTAACTTAAAAATGTGACCAAAAATGTTTGTCATCATAAAAAGGTGGACATTATTACAATCCATGATCTTGAGTTTATGATTTTCAAGATGAAAAATATTATTAGAATTCTACTTTATTTTTCCTGATATCATTAAATATTTATTTTGTGCATACTAGCATTTTAGGTACATTATATATTGTGTAAAAGGATCGACTCATAACTAGGTAGAATAGGTTTGATGTTTTTGTTAGAGTCTCTAATTTGATTTATTTAGTTTTTATATTTCTTGAGTCAAAAATCCTATTAAAGGTGTATTCTAACTTAGCAACTGTGCACACACACACACCGAGGAGGAAAATTAAGTATTTTAATTTCTATGAAGATCATCCCATATGACATGTATCATACTGTATGATATGATTAAAATAGAAATTAATTAAATCATTTACTAATTTCTATTAATCATATTATATGATCTAAATCATAGAGGAAGATAAGAAGAAATAAAAAAACCTACCACCAATTACAAATTAGGCAATATTTTAAAATTAAAAAAAGAACTAATCATACTATACGACTTCTATGGTTGTATGATGTCAGTAAATATTTCCTAAACTAATCCTATAATTAAGAAAACAAATTTGGATTAATTAACATTTCACTTCAAAGAATATGATTACTTAATTTGTATAATGTGACCCAAATTTCTCTTAGGATGATAATTAATCACCATTGATCGTTCTGGGGATGAAAATCCTATTCAATTGAATCAATCATACTATATAACCTTGACATTAAATTGGCTGAACAATTCCAAATTTATCATATGGTTCTAACATGATATATTGAACTAATGATATTGTACAATCACATATCATGCTACACAATAAAAAATAACAGAATAAAAAATTTAGGATTTTTTTGGAAGCCATGTTTTAAATTCTCTTAATAGATTTTAAAGAAGTCTTTTGGTTGTTGGAAGATTTCTTTAAGAGTGCTTTGAGAGGTTATCACCTTGAAAGATTTTGGGGTTTGGAGATGGAGATTTAGAAGTTGTGTGTAAGGGAGAAATAATTTGAGGAGATTTCATGAGGTTGCTCTAAGGAAGCTTATACCTTAGTCTGTTCGTATATTTAGATGATCTTTTGGGTTGCTCTAGGATGAAAATATTCAAGACTGAAGATTATCGGGTTCTCTATCTCATGAAAAGGGTGAAAAGGATTTTAGGTTCTCTAGCTCACGAGGAGGGTGAAAAAGATTTTACTAGTCTTTAAAACCAAGTTGGTGAAAGAGATTTTGTAAGGGCTTATCTACCTTGCTATGGGGGATAAAAGAGAGTCACAAAACAGTTTAGTGCAATGCTTGGAGTGGAGGACTTCAAGGAATGGATGGAGGTTATAGTTTGATCGAACCACTGAAATCTAGTGTGCTCGTTCTTTACATTTTCTTGATTTTTGCATTTTACTATCCCCAATTTATTCTTGCATTTTAATTTATTATAAATTTACTTTCCAATAATCAAAGTTGTGATCTTGGGGATTTTATATTTTGTAATTTACTTTCCCTCACTGAAATTTTAAGTAAACTGAGATCTTGGGGATTTTATATCCCAGTTTTAAGCTCGCTTGTTGATTGTTTTCAGCAACTGAGAAGTTTATCCAATACTAACCATGATTATGCAAAAATTTATTGCACGGTTGTTATTTTTCCTGGAACCGTAGGAATGATAAGAAGCATTGTAACCCGTCTATTCCTGTATCTGTTCTTGCTGCCAATGTTCTTTACACAGCTACAAGCAAATATCCTCTTCTAGTTAACTGGGATGCTAACCTCCTCCGTGAGTCTGAAACCACTTGGCATCCCCCACCACTAGATTGGATCAAAATTAATGTTGATGTAGCTTTAATGGATTCTAATTTAGCCAGTGTTGGTGGTGTGGCTCGGGACTCTAAAGGAACTTTACTACTAGCTTTTGGAAAGAAAAAATTGCATTGGGACATCAATCAACTTGAACTGGAAGCCATATTCACTTTGAAGCATTTCATTCAAAACTGGAAATATGACTGTAAAGGATTAATAATTGAAGGAGACAATTACAATACCATCAAGTTCCTACGGAATTCGGTTGTGAACTATTCTGCTATAGGCAAGATCTCCGAGCAGATTTCATTTCTCCAAGACTTCAATAAGGTAATTTTTCACCACATACCTCATAATTTTAACAGAGTTGCTAACTTGTGTGCAACTTTAGCTCTTCAGAATAATTTTTTCTTTAACTCCATTTATGCTCCTGATATTCCTTCTTCACTAACTTGTCTTCTGAAGAACGAATATGAGGCTTGCTTATCTTGATTAGTTTGTAATCTCTTTTCCTTTTTGCTTTTAATGCAAGTTTGCAATTTTCAAAAAAAAAAAAAAACAATAATCAAAGTTGTGAACATTGTGAGGAAAGAAGAATAAGCCCGAATGTGATATTTAGTGCAGCATCCTAGAGATCTTCCCCTTCAAGTAAAAGTCACCATAAATGGGTTCCAAAGAAGGTCTCAATTGATAAAAAGCCCGACAATCGACAACTTAGAGAATTCTCCAGGAGATCCCATCATTCACCGATTCCATCTAGGGAAGAGGTAAGCTTCGATTGCAACACAAGGATCAAAAAAATCTTCCTGACAAATAATGAACTGGAAATCCAAATACAAGAGGAGGAAGAGGATAAAGAAGATACCATAGATGTTGAAGTGGTGTGTATAGTAAGGTACGATGGTGATGAAGATGATGATGATGATGATGGGCAACCTCCACCACCCATATGGATATACCAACACACTATGAGGTTGGATCAATCACTAGTAGAGGTGGCTACTCTTCAGAAGAAATAGGATAAGAGCCTAAAGAAAACCCCTTCATTACTAGATTTGTCACTCTTGTAGATATGTGAAGTAAAATGATAGATAAATCTCTTAGTTAAATAATAAAATGACTAAAATGATGGCTTAGATGGTGGTGATGATGTAGATGATACAAAGAACTACTAAAGTAGGTCGCATGCCCACTTTGCCTTTCAATCCTCCAAACCTTCAAATACCTCAAGTTTTAGGAGTATGAGACACCCTTAAAGGCAAAAGTGAGGTCAATAACCTAATTTGTCAGCCTACACCACATAATATAGTAAGTACCTTTGAGCCTGTGATGGATGTATAACATGAGGGAATAATTAATGAGAAGATCAAGGCTATTATAACCATTGATAAAAAAAAAAAAAGTTAATATGTTAAGGTTGCCCATACCTGGAAGAATATAACCAGGTTCCATATTTTAAGGGGTACTCTGTTCTAAAACTTCACACCTTCAGCGGCAATAGTAACCACAAGTAGCACCTGGCATAATTTAAAGGTACTTTTGGCAATATAGGGGGTAACAATGACTTACTCTTCCAACAGTTGATCAATAGTTTAACTTTAACTAATTTTAAAAAGTATGTTGAACATCCAAATGATTCTATGAAAACATTTGTAGAATTGGAAACCATATTTATAAAGCGGTTCACAAGCAAAACTGAGAAGACAACTATTACTGACCTCACCTTGGAGAAATAGAAGAAATATGAGTCAATAAGAAAATATATAACCTGTTGGCGTAAATTGAGTAAGAGATATGAATAGTAATACAAGGAGAAGCATGGTGTACATATACTAATAGGAAATATCAATGATAAGATGCAACCATTCATATGCATGGAATCTATCACCAAATTTTAGGATCTACTGGATAGAATGGCTAAAGTTAATAAGTTGAACTTGTTGAAATCTAAAAGCCACTATGATAAGCCCAAGAAGGCTAAAGCCTTGGATGCAAGAAAAAGTGAAGCATGCTCCATGTTCTTTTATAGGACTAATAAGAGAAGACAAGTGGTGAATAATATTGGCAAAGGCAAATGACAATTTATAATATAGATAAAGGTAAGCAACTGATATAATATGAGAATAAGACAAAATAGGCACTACAACCCTAACCCCCAGCCAAAGCTGATATTGGGGGGAAACGATAAGCCTCAAAATTTTCCTGGTGGGGGAGAATGCCCATGTCAAATAATGGGAGCTAGTGATCGAACATTCCCATCCCTCAAATAAAAGATGAAAAAAAGAATATATGTTTAAAAGGGAAAGTGTCACCAAGGTGTTTAGATAGACACTGAAAGTGGGTCTAGAACTACCTAAATGCAAGAGACCTAAAGAGTCTGATCATACTGGCGACCCAAATTATTTCTCATATCATTGGGTAACTAGCCATCCTATCTAAGACTGCCACATCATTAATGACTCGCTAGAAAGATAATATAGAGAGGCAGAATTCAAATTATCAGATAATGTGCTAGTTCACCTTAGAAAAGAATCAACTTGGGTTGTTATGTACTCTGCCATACCCCTACCAAAGGAAGAAAAGAAAAAGAGTTAGCTCAAGATGAGAAATGGGAGACTACGGTCTCCAAGAAGATAGTGAAGATGTTAAAATAGCAAGAAGGAATTCCTCTGTTGAGTGGAAATCTTTTATTAAGCCAATGTTGGAAGTAAAAGGGTTGTATGTTGAAGTTACATCTACTTCCAAACAACACCCTAGCCAAGTTAGCTCATTAAATTTTGGTAAAGTAAAATCCTCCAAAAAGAAAACCAAGCTGAAGATGCTCATGGAGAAAAAGGCAGCCACTAAAAAGGCTATTAATAGTTTGGATGATTATTAACAAACTGTCAAGCATTCTATTAAGCTCACTGACTTTAAGTTAGAGCATAAAATAGATGAAGTAGAAAAAGCATATGAAGATTCATTTTTTCTGAAAATATGCAAGGTGATCTCTATGACATTAAATATATTGACAAAAGAAGAACATGCTGAAGAATTGGCTTCTAAGTCCTATCTGATGGTGTGCAGATAGATTATAGATCAAAGGAAGATTTGAGTTTTTTAAATGAGGATGAATCAAAGCTTTACATAGCATCGCAGATGGACCTTATATAATTGGGTGGTAATTTAGAATCAATAGATGAATCTCCTAAAGCAATAATGACAACTTTGAAGAAATTTCTTTTCTAAATGAGTTTGAATCAGATGAAGTGGCCCAAGTGTAGTTAAGAAGTGCCAAGATACTGTCATCTCCAATGAAGAAGGGGGTCTCCAATAAAGATAACAGATAGGAGATAGTGTTAAACGAATGTATTATCCCTAAAGACACTAAGAAGAGTGGCACTTCAGAGAAATGAATAGATTACAATATCTTATCTCACTTGAGAAAAATTCCTATGCAAATCAGCATATACGATGCTCTGCTAATGTTTGAAGATATTTGAGAAACTTTGATCCAGGCTCTCAAAAATCTTGAAAGATATAAAGCATGTTTTATTGAGCATTGCATGAATGAGATCTTACAAGCTCATAATGAGCCAATCATCACTTTTGTTGATGATGATTTGATGCTTGGGGTGGCAGATCATAATCTCTCGTTGTATATTATTATAGAGAGTGAAGACATCATAATCAGCCAGATACTGATTGATCTTGGGCCCTCCATCAATCTCATAATCCTAAAATCACTAGGATCATTGTGCCTTGCTGTGCAACATCTTAGGCAAGATAAGTTAATGGTGTATGGCTTCGGTAAGAAGAGGAAGAAGACTATGAGATCCTCGTTCTGCTATTCTTATGCAAATAACTCTATACAATGGTCAAGTTTCATGTGATCGATGTGAACACCTCATTTAAGGATCTTCTAGGTCTCCCTTGTCCATATGAATATGGTATTATCCAATTGACTCTACATCAGTGTATGAAGTACCTAAAAGAAGGAGATGATTTTAGGATCTTTAAAGACATCTAGCCCTTTGCAATTCTTGAGTTAAAGATATATGAGGATGAAAAGTATGTCATCCTAAAATATCCAAAGTCATCAAGATCTTATGAAGCTAAAGCATCTAGTTTAAAAATTACAAAGCAAACTTGGAAAGAAGGATAGAAGAAGCGAAGGGGAAGAAAAAAGGCAATGCCGACTCCTCTCAAAGCGGTCATTACTTCAAAACTAAGAAAATATGTGACTCATTTAGGGAGTGACACTAAAAAAGATGACATCATCCCTAACAAATCCAAGAAAAACTGCTAGTTTATAGTCAAAGGAAAGAAGAAGGCAGAATACTCAGATTCTGATTATAACTTCAAGTCTACATATGCGAGTAAGGTGCCGTATGAATTTTGAGAGGAATAGGTAACTTGTCAATCTCAATGAACATATTTGTGGTCACATATCTTCCTCCATAATAGTTTAAAGAAATTACCCCTTGAGAGGTACATAAAATTGAAGAGCTCAAAACACTTTACGTACCTCATCTAAGAAAAAGATTGGACTAGGAAGTTTATTATAGAAGTATGAACAGTGTGAAGAAAGAAATTTTAAATAGCTTGTTGAGCTCATTGATTATGGAGAGATAATTCCTATAAGGATGTCCAAATATTATCCCAAAAATATTCAAAGAATGATGCAAAAATAAGAAGTTCATGTCGGTGTTTCTAAATGACAAACTTTCATCCTACTGAGTATATGGTATCTTAGAAATCTTTACATATTATGAAAACATAATATTCTTAAAGGATAGGTCTTAGACTTTTTGTATGAAAGTAACCTCAAAAAGAAATTTGATGTATAATCACATATGGGGAAATCGAATCTAAAGGAAAAAATAAGGCAAAGCTCTATGAAATCAATCTTCTAGATGATGAGCTTGTAGAAGCTTCACCTACACTAGAAGAGCTTGAAGATAGTGGATAGGCTTCCCTGATGGATGAGCTAAAATAAATTAACTTAGAAACTAAGGATGACCCTCACCCAACCTTCATTAGGGCTCTACTTCTAGATGATCAAGTTGAATAAATGAAAGAGCTCCTATGTGAATTTAGGGATAAATTTTCCTAGACATATGCTAAGATGCCTGGCTTATCCCCTGATATAGTATTTCATAGCTATTAAACTAGATGCAGTGCTTGTCAAATAAGTTCTAAGGAGAATGAGATTGCAGATTGAAGAACATGTGATTGTAGAGAAGAAGAAGCACATATATGTAGGCTTCTTTCATGAATAAAAATATGCTAACTGGGTCACAACATTATACCTGTTAAAAAGAAGAACGGTCAAATTCATGTATGCATCGACTTTAGGAACCTCAACAAGGCATGTCCAAAGATGACTTTTTATTCCCGATGTTAGAACTCTTAGTATATAGAACTTCTAACTATGATATGTTGTCTTTTATGAATGGATTATTGATCCCAATAATATAATTAAGATGGCACCAGAAGATAAAAATTAGATA